TTCTTTTCTTTTCCTCCAACAACTGCTGTAATCTCTCTTGTTTATTTTGCTGTTCAAGCTGCCACTGTTGCAGGTTTTCTTGCTACTGCTGTTGTCTCTCTTCTTGTTTATTTTCTTTCTCTTCCAAACACTGCTGTAGTCTCTTTTCTTGTTTATTTTCTTGTTCTTCTTGTTTCTTTTGCTGTTCTTGCATCGCTGCCATCAAATCTGCTAAGCTGTAGTTTGATTTGCCACTTCTCGTTTCCATCTTTTTTTTTTCCGTCCCACTCTCTGACACCAATTTGTTACGTATCTGCTTGTTTTTTAATTTACAGTAGAATTTTTTTCCAAGAAACTTCAGCGAGACAAGTCCTTTCTTGATTAAACCATTTTATTCTTTCTCGATGCAAACTTTTAGTACACAGTGATTCCACAGTCAGTATGTTTCTAGTCACTTTCAACTTAAACGACTTTTATAATACACGCTATAAATCACAGCAATTCACAATCTCAATAACTTTGCTCTCTACGAATGCAAAACACACGCTAGCCCGAAACTCACCATGACTACTGTTTGCTTTATCATACATTCAATCCTGCTGGCTTTTCTCGCCAGGCTTATATAGTAACAAAGAGGCGTCTTGATCACACTCGAGCTTCCCCGATAATTCGAGAAACTCAGTCACTCATGCGCTAGCAGCATCACATGACTTCTGCTGTCGTAACATTACTTTGTTTAAGTTACAAAGTATAAACTAAGTATCACACATATCCAAACGAGTTGATATATATGTGAATCCTTATTGGTCTACTCCTCTCTTTGATACTATGGGTTACAGACTTTGTTCGTCTAATTAATAAATCTCAGATGACCATTTTGGGAGCCAGCTACCGATATTAATTAGTCAGTGAAATTTCAAAACATACTAAAAGTAATTCATAATAGAAAATGAAACAAAACTTAATGTTACAGTACTTTGTAATATCTTATTTTAGCACAAATTACCTGTATTAAAATAAAAGTTATGAATGAGGGTGAGAAATAGAAATCAATCACTATAATTTTCATTAAACAGAAGATTCTCCTACTATTAAAATATTGCATAAAAAAAGATTTGAACTTGCTTTTCCTAAATTGTTGTTATACAAGTTATCCCTTAGCTGTGAAAATATTATTGAAGTGAATTTGACAACAATTTATTATTTCATACTTATAGTTTATTTGGGGAAGCTTCATATATTATTCTATAAAAATGTTAATGTAAGGCCTGTTCATGTGTGTGATTAGGAATTAGAAACAACAGAAAACCATTTAATCACCATATCGTGAAAATACTGGAAGAATAAACTTTAAGTCAGATATTCTCCTTGATAAATCTAAAGTGTGGCATGTACAACATAACAATACTCTTAAGATGAGAAAGGTATTGTCTTCCTAAAGAAAGGCACACACAAGCACACTGTTCACAAAACCAACCAACTAATCAGAAACCACCTCCATTCAACCAATCAAGACAAAGGTAAAACATGAGCTCTACATCACGTATGCTATAGAAGATGAAAACCCAACAAAATCTCAAACAAACTACTACAGACCTGAAGAAAGTGTATAAAAATGTTGTCTCCAAAGAAACGTTCCAGTAGGTTGTCCATTTTACCAGCTAACCATGAATAAATCATATTTATAATAAGTTTTAAACTGTTTAATATAGCATGTACAATAGCATTACAAACACTGAACACTTCACTCTTGTTAGCACTTAATCTATTAGCCATACTCTGACTATCAGGGGAACCACTTTTACTAGGTTTTATGTTTATAAAATATCTACTAAAGTTGTTCTTTAGAATTATATAGAACACCAAAATCTAGCTACTCTATCAAAAAGCCAGTCCATAAGTTATATAAATAATAAGGATCAAAAGTGACCAGTTTTTTAAACCATTACCTTAATTAATAAAGTACTGTACAATTATCGTAAGCCTATCCAAAATGACCAGGTTTGCCTAGGTAGGTTAAATATCTGCAGAAAATATTCCACATTTCTGAACCTAGAAAGGCAAGATGGCTCAAAAGTTCAGAACAGCAAAACTATGACTTGAAGTCTAAAATATCAGTAGTGTTTTAAAACTTCTCTCTTCACTTTTGATGAGAAATCCATATCATAAGAATGAAGTTTTGACTACCATACTTACATGCTGCACATCACAACTATCAACTTTAGGTGAAGACGTCCACACCATATCTGGAGCTTCGTGACTAGCATCTGGGACAAAGAGAACTTCTGAATCTGAGAAATCTACTTGAAGTCCATTCTCTGTATCTGCTAGTGATTCTGGTCGAGAACGTCTGCCATACTTCTTGTTTCCCAACACCAGTTTGGGCGACACTTCACGATCTATTGTAAAAGTTTTAAATACACTGTAATATTCTGTTAACTTATCTAGTATAGTTTATTACATAAAACCCATTACTGACACCAACTGTAGTTGAAACATTTGAAACAAATATCTAAATGATTACAATGCAAAAGTTCTTTGCCGCAAGAAGCTTTAATGTGTAAAAAGTAAGTACAAAACATAACCAATAGTTATTCAAGTTATGATAAAACTAGAACTGAAGCAGTACCATAAACAACAGAGAGACATGACTAACAAATTTCATATTGTAGACTCAGTATCTGGAGCATTCTGTATAAGAAGCAGATCAAAGTATTTTCTTCAATAACACAAACCTGAGAATTGGTAAGCTGTATCATCCTCACATTCTTCTTCTTCATCTTTGATGTCAGCTGACTGAGTTAATAGTGATATAAATCCTTCTTTGAACTCTTGAAAATCAACCTAAAATTAGAAAACCATTAAGATGATGGAAAACAAATTACATTACAAAGTTCCTCTTGTTAGAATTATACCTTATGCCCAAACTACTTTACAGATGGCTGTGGCTATTAAAAAAGATAAAGAGATGATAAATGTCTTAGTACATGTGTTATTCAAGTGCTAAGTATTACATATTTACTCCAAGCAACAGTTTTTCTTTTGGAAAAAATATCAATGTTCTTAAAGTAAACACATTAGTAAACTATAATATTATCTACATTATTGCTAAGCTCTTTCTTCTCCTTCTAGAAAAGGTGTACAAGTATTTGAAAATAGTTTTAAGAATTTATAGACCCAAGAAGCAAAGAAAAGTTAAGGACTGTCTTATATCAACCGTTTCCCCAAAAAAGTATAGAATACAAAAGATGTCTTTGTATAGGACTCATATACTGTGTTCTCCATCAACAAAACTATTCTACCAAAATAATCTACAATTTTTCATATAATCTTTTAGATTAAGTTGTAAAAAGTAACTCACCCTTGCAGTTGGATTGCTACCAAATAGGTGCTTGATGAAGATACTAACTTGATCTGTCAACTGCAGTTTTTGACAGAGAGATGTTACCTCATCATGACCTAAATAACCAGTCCCAGTAAGGTCACAGCTTTCAAACACTTCTCGCAACTGGGCAACATAGGTGTCTTGACTGTTGTCGTCATCCATCACCCACTCTGGTGAAAATAATAATAATAAATATCCTCTGTTAGAATAACATTTTCCAGGCAACTATGAAACGTTTCAATGGTTCAGAGACAAACTAAAACAGTAAACTCCAGCTGCACGTATTGAGTTTGGTGTTGCTAACACAATTACAATAAGTCCACTAATGGATGCAACACTGTTTACTGTGTTTGTTGGCATGTGTTTAAGATTTATATTATTATTTAAGTTTAAGTAACATTTACAAGATACAAATCATTTACTTATGCACACAACCCAACCTTTCTAAAAGCACTGGAATTCTAATGATCCAAGCATAAGTTTTATATAGAGCCTTCAACACTATTCACTACAAAACAAAACTTTTTAGAATTTAAACAACTGTGAAAGTAGTTTTTCCTACATTAAAAATCAATATACTGTACTTTTTTTTGTCAGTATTCAAACATATTTTTTCCTTAATGTTGTATCTAAATACTGGTAACAATAGTTCAAGTATTTCATAATCAGTCAGTCATTAGTGGATTGTTCACTTTAATCACCAGATAATTTTTCTTCTCATTTTGTAACCTTCTAAAATGGTAATGAGTTGCAGGGATTTTTCTTTAATGTCCGTGATTTATAAGACTCTCATACAGGTCCATAGCCATGGGATGGAGAGACAGAGACTACAGAAACCTGATCCCTTCAAAATTATTCTCCATTCCATCCAAGAAACAAATAATTATTGATGGTTTTAATCCTTCACCAGCAGATGCTATTTCTAAATTATTTTAGAATAAAACAAACAACAATTTTATGGAATCCAATTTGAGGAAGTTAAAGTTGAGTCACATTATAATGGTCTGAAAGGAATGGGATCTCTGGGTTATAGCATAGTAAAATGTACTTAATAATCAGAATACTCTGTAAATGAAGCAATTATCTGCAGTTTGACAAAGTTCCTAGTCATAAAAGTCCCAACATATTAACTGGCTGTGAATGATAAGCACTTAAACTCTCATTCAAACTGTCAGCCAGTTAGTAGAAAAATAAAGAAATGTTCTATACCAGTGACAATAAGCCCAGTTATCCACTTTATATTCTTGATCTGCTGAGTTACAAAGCCTTCAACAAAACCAAAAACCTGATTTAAGAAGTGAGCTCTCAATTCCAACATACACAAGTAAAGAAAAAGCTTTTCAT